TCTTCATTGAAAGAAGAGCAAAGATTGACACTGAAGGCTTTTCTCGAGATAAAAAATGTTTTCAGTCTTTTTCCAACTGACGTCGTTAAGAGTTTGACTACGTTATGATTCGTTGATCTGACAGGTTGAAGTTTAGCTGTCATCTCATCACCTGTCTGCCCTTTCCCAAACTGTTTCCAACAGATGCTTCTGGTAAAAAAAAAAAAAACACCCGGCGCAGTCAGGTTAGAGCAATATTGCCTTTATCTGTGATCTGAGTGAGCACATGATGAACAAATGTTTTATGTTTAAAAATGTCATGCTATTCACAATTCCCAGCAGTTACACTGCTTACACTGTAACTGGGCCCTACGAGGAGCTCTGCTGGTGGTGTAAAAGATGTGGGCCTGTAATGCAGTGTGTGTCCTTGAGCATACACACACCCCAATGTGTTAAAGAGGTGTAAAAAAAAAGAGACATGTGTTGCAATCAGCACATCTTAAACACGTGGCTTTTCTACAAACATCTTCACACATATCCTTTTTAAGTCATTTGTTATAGTGTTAACAGCATAACCAGTACTATTTAAAAAATAATAATACATTTGTGTGTGTGTGTGTGTGTGTGTGTTGATGGTAAAGCCTGGTTTCCAGAGCCAATATCTCTGGAGTTAAGAGCTGACAAAAGGGGAGGTATGCAGAGGAGCAGCCCGTTCTGCACTGCACCAAGCCTGGGTGCTTTGATCCTACCATCCCTCCAACTAGACCCCCCCTTCCTCCTGGCTTAGCAACACACAGAGACACATGTGCACACAACACACACACACACGTACGCTACACACTCTTTGGCTCCCTCTGCTTGCAGACGTGGCACTGGCACGGTTTGATTGACAGGTGCTGTGATGTACTGGCTACGTTTGAACTTCACTCAATTAGAGTCCCATAAGGCCAAAGTCATTACCATTCTCCTTCAACCCACTTTGCATAGAAGGGGTGGGCAGGGTGCTCAGCAAAATGTGTGCCAGATAAAAAATACATTTGCAGCCGCTTTGAATTCCACATCAAAAAAAAAAAAAAAAACACATATGAGAGCGAGCGAGAAAGAAAAAGAGAGCAGGGCCTTCAATTCTGATCAGAAATCTTAATGAGGGCAAAAAGAAAGCTGGACTCACCAGACAGAAGCACAAACAACAACATAAGCTTGATTTGATTTACAGAATATAAAGAATAAGTGTGTAAAACTTAATCTTACCCATGAATGCATGGTGCTTTAAATAATTCGTCCACTGAATATGCATATTAATAATGTATTGCGGGAATGCGTGCTTGATTACCATACCTCCCAAAAGGGATTGTTCTCTACGCAGTAATTAGAAATGATCCTGAAGACAATTCAACAGCTCCACTAATGGGCCTGTGAGTGTCCTTGAGAGAGATTCAAACTACAATTTATTAATGGTTCCTTGAATTCCAAATGAAACCTGATATTTTTTCTTTGCTTTTTGCACAGAATGAAACTGAAATATATACAGTGCATCAGTTCTGAAGAACCAAATGGGGTCTTTTCAGTAAGACACTGGAGAAAAGACATGATGCTCAGTGTCTTATAACACAAAGTTAAACAGACACCTCTAAATAAGGCAGCACCTGCCGTGTTCAGCAGTTACTAGACATCCACTGTTTAAAAAGAAAAGAAAAGAAAATCCATTATATTAAGCTGTACCCTGCTGCAGGAACCATGTATATCCACAGAGGAGGCAATCATGTGCCATTCAAAAAGCCCAGTGAGTACAATTACCTTGAAGAGGCTTGCTGTTGTGCAAGCTCCAACGTCAAGAGTAATACCCTTTTCTAATGTGTTTGCAATCCCTGGGTGAATAGCAGCGGTACAGCGGGCAACATGCTAGCGGGGGAATGGAGAGTGCTTAAAGAAAGCTCTATCCAAACAGATTTGATTGTGATATCAATATGCAGTGGATTTCAGAATCCTTTTTTGGTGTGCAGCACACAGGAGGAAAAAAAAGCTCTAGTGGATTTTGATCCTGATTGACTGCTTTAAACTGAGAGGTGGATCTAATATGCTGGCCTCCCTGGTGTGTAAATAGGAGTGGGCAAAATGTTAGCAATAGCTTTCAATCTGAAATACTGCCACCCCTAACTAAAGGTTTTATTGCAAGGCTACTGCACCGAATTGCATTAGACAGTACAGCTATACATAATCAATTCATGACTCAGTCAGGAAAAGTAAGAAAGTGTGAAATACTGCCTACAGAAACACCACAATAGTAGCTGAAATAATGTCTGTGAAGAAACTTGTTACCATTGCCAGTATTTTATGTTTGTCATTGTTGTCATTTTAATATTGTTTTTTCTGTGAATGTTACATTTATGATGCTAAAATGATAACTCCTCCATCATGAATCATATCACAATTGCAATATCTGTCAAAATAATAAGCCCTGGCTGGCGCCCCACGTATCAAGGCTGAGTCCTTGCTGCAGTGGCCCAGGGTTCGAATCCGATCTGCGGTCCTTTGCTGCGTGTCATCCCCTCTCTTTCTGGCCCCCTTTCCTGTCTATCTTCAGCTGTCACTATCAATTAAAAGGCAATAAAAGCCCCAGAAATATTTACAAAAATTTTAAATAAGCCCTACCACACACGCTGCTGTGTTGACCATTATTCAGGCTAAGGGAGGATCAACTAGGACTGGGGTGGGGGTATCATTAA